AGAAGAACCAACAGGGACGCACTCCCCCTGTCCTTCTCCCTGCACATGTCATCGTACAGGGCGACCAAGGCAGATTCAGTACCGTACCTGGGTCTGAAGCCGGACAGAAATGGGTCCAGATAATTTCACCCAGGAGCAATGCTAGCATGTACACCCATGCTCCTAGCATGGGTGTACATGCACCTCAGCTCCTTCCTACCACTTCGTTTCCTTGGAGTTCCCAGCCTCCTCCTTCCTCCCATCCTCCCTAATACCTGGCCCCTCTCTGAAGGAGTCCTGTCAGTCCCTGCCGTATCTCTAAAACCCTGCTCCCAGAGCCCTGATTCTCCCCCACACTTGTCCAGTGCAGACACATTTGTGGGGGGGCCTGAACCCCCCCCCCGGCTCAGTTTAAAGTCTTCCAGACGAAGCTTGCTAGAGCATCTCCAAAGGACCTTTTCCCCATCCTTGTGAGGTGTAACCCGTCCCTTGCCAGAAGTCTATTGGCAAGAAAATGAGTGCCATGGTCGAGGAACCCGAAGCGTTCCTTCTGGCACCACACCCTAAGCCAGTCATTCACCTCGGAGGCCCTCCTGTCCCTTCCTGGCCCAAATCCCCGGACAGGTAAGATTGACGAGAAGGCCACTTGGGCCTTCAGCTCCCTGAGTCTCTTCCCCAAGGCCTCACAGTCCCTGGTGGTCCCAACCACACCCTCCCTGGCCACATCGTTTGTGCCCACATGGATCACCAGGAGTGACTGGTGACCCCCGGATCGAACAAGACGCTCCACTCTGTCCTTCACATGCCGGATGCGTGCGCCCGGCAGGCAGCAAACCTCCCTTGTCTCCAGGTTGGGGCGGCACACCGCCGGCTCAGTGCCCCTCAGCAGGGAGTCCCCAACAACAATCACCCGCCGCCGTACCTTCCCGGTGCTGGTGGGCAGCCACGCCCTGGCCCTCACCTCTCCTGCTGGTCCCCCGAGGCCTCATCAGCCCCAGCCTCCCCAAGTGGAGAGAACCTGTTTTCCAGTTCCAGATTGGTGCCAGGAGAAGGCGGAGGCCGTGCTTGCACCGAGGGCAAGTGTATCCCTGCCTCTCCTGGGGGAGAAGGGCGAACATGTCGCAGCTATCGCAGCAGACAGCAACACCCGTGACTCCCGCCAAGGCCATCTCCTTGTCTGCCATTGGTATCCCTTCCGAGACCTTACCTTGGTCCCCTGCCTTGTTAGTCCTGCAGTTCCTCTCACTCGCTCAGTTCTTCCAGACAAAAACCCACTCGCACACACACACAAGGATAAAATAAACTTAAATTTAAAAATCAACATGACTTTAATAATTGTGAACACTGATTTCTAAGTATGGCTAAGTTTGTATCCAACTCAGTTACTTAATTTATTTAAAGCAAGCCGTAGTTAAAAGTACCTTTTAGATGCTATAACACATCTGTCAGCACATGTTCCTGTCTCAGGAAGCTTCCAGTCTTTGGACTATTTGCTTGTACAAGGGCTTTAATTTAGGTTTTTAAATAATTAATATGACTCTTCAATGGAAATTGATAGAGGAATACCGAACAAAGCAGTGTAAACAAGTTCCTTGTTATGTGAAGTATTTTCTGCAGAGAAAACATGTAGCAGGTAACCACAATGCTGCTAACCATGGTTACCAAATATGTGTATGTGTTCCATTCCATTTCCTAACAAATATTCCTTCCCCTACTCTTATCTGTAGCTAAGCAGTTTATGTACTGGGTTAAGGAGAAGTGTTATTTAGCCTTTTATGCAATGAATGTGCATGGCAAGCAAAACTGAGCATGTGTGGGAGGGGATATTTATACATTTGAAAATGTATTAACCCAGCATTACACTTAAAAAATTGAAACACTCAGCACACTTTACTCAAGTAAAACCAAACATAGGTTAGAATTGCAGCAACATTGGTTAGCTTTTGGCATCAGTTCTTTGCTACCAGGAGTTTGGATCAACAGGTTGGGATTTGTGGTGGGACAGGGTATTTTAATTATATCATTTTGTATAGTGTAACTGCCCTAGGATCATTTTCCAATGAAGGTGGGGATATTAAAAAAATATAAAATAAATGCCCCCAAAAGATTAAAAGACTTAAAAACCTATAAAGGACCCAATTAATAAATAAAGCGTAAACATTACCAAATAACAAGAAAATCAAAAGCTTGTCAGAAAAGAGGTGCCCTCTACTGATAGTAGCATATGGACAAAGCAGTTGAAAATGCATTTTCCAAGACAGAAAGTTCCACATTCTGGGAGCTAAAACATGCCCCTCCACATACCCTGACTGGCAGGGCACTAAGGTTAGTGCTGATACTCTTTTTTGGCAAAGCAGACTTATGGAAACCACAATCAATATGTGAAGAAGGACTAGCACTGTAGAAAAACTCAGTTACTTAGGATTGTTTGCTGCTGTTGTTGTTCATCTTGTCTTTTTGTGTGGGAAGGGAATGACTACATATAATTAAAACACAGTAGATGCTATAGTTAAGCAAGTTCAATTTCACAAATGTCTCTACAGAAGGAGAACTCATCCATTTATTCCACTAAATCTGACACAGTGTCCATTGCTTTGTTAATTTAACACTTTCATGCCTACAACATTCCAGATTGCTACTATTTATTTTCATTTTGAAGGTGTAGGTTAACAGGTTTGTATTTAAATTGAAAAATGAGAATTTGTCTTGTTTAATTATTATAATTAAGCAAAGTATAATTTGTTTAATTATTGCAGTTCATGTTACAGCTCTGCTTTAATATATGGGATACCTATCTTTTAATATTTGCTATATTTGTATCTCATTTACTATTATATATAAACACTGGCATAACAAGGGGGTTAATAGCATAAATTGTGAAATGACTTGTACAATTTAAACATTTTATCTCGCCTCATTTACTTTAAACATCGAACCCACTTGTCCTTAGGCAAGCAAATATCTCTGACCTTACCTGTCTGCAAAACTGGGATACTGTCCTACCCTAGAGGGATTCATGGGCTAGATGTGTATTGATTTCATCTAATGAAAGGGCCTGCAATCTCAATCACATGAGCATGAGCTAATTTTGAAAAATTGTATCTTAAATCTGCAACCCCCTGGGCTACCAATCATACTGTTCTGGAGGGCCATCCAAACTCCTGGAGCAGATATTCAGCATGTATAGGTATGGATGAATAAATCAGCAAAAAGAGCCCTGTAAAGTTCTCCAAATTCAGTCTGAAAGCCTGTTCCAACTCTAGCCCATGTCAAATTGTAAGTTTTAATTTTTATGAATAAAAATGTGTGTGTGCTTAATTGTTCAAAATGTATGTATCAGTTGTGTATTTCTCTGCATGGATTTTTCAAAAGTACACATTACATTCATTAGCATTTTTCAAATGTGCATATGCTGTCAACCCTATTTGTTTAGGTCCAAAAATCACATTGCAAGCATGAAAATGTACAGACTTCAACTGCAGATTGTGCCCCATGTGTATTCAGTCCAGAAGGTGCAAACTCATTAATCCTGATTGAAAATGAATGGTATTAACCCCCCCCCCTGCACACCACACACAACTACCAGGAACATTCTCACCGGAACTCTGAGTTCAAGCCTCTGAGATGTTCCTGGGTGGGGGCCCTTTCAGCCTAAGGGCCATTTTGCCTCGATGGTATAGCCAAAGCCAAGAGTATGCTAGCTACCCCACATTCTCCCACACATACACTCCCCCCACCATATTCCCAAGATCCCACTACACTGCAAGTGACACCAGTGAAAGGCTTTTCTCAAGCCCAAGTGTAGCATAGGAATGACTATTTAGGAGTACAGACATTTGTGGACCTCCCCTGCCCATCTGTAAACCTCTCCTCACCCTACAGCACCTGCAGAGGGCACGGCTGGCTTCCTTGGTGGACAATTTCTCAAGGGGAGCAAGTACTGTATGAGGAAGGAGGGATATCTGTTCCCTCCCCAGCAACAACCCTATCATGCTCCCTTGAGTGACAATTAGGCTTTGAAAAAGGAAAAGAAAGAAATCTGTTAGCAACCAGTAGAAGCCTTTTAAATGATTTAAACTTGCACAGGCAAGTTTTTGTGAGTTCCCCCCTAAAAACCCCGGTTTCCTAATCATTTCCGAGCAGTGACACAGCCCTTGTGGCAATTTGGCTTTGAAAAGCTTCCACTGGCAGCAGAGGAGAATTTTCAAAAGTCCAGTTCGTGTGTGGCAGAGAGGGCAGTCATGGCGGGGAGCTTCTGTGGGCCTTATCTAGCAGGCATGCCAGAGCTTCCCTGATGTGCCTGAAACACTAAGAATGTAGTATAAATGCTAAGCATTAGCAAACATGACACTGGCCACGATCTAGCACATAGACAAATGTGCCTTATCACCACTGTTTTGAATCATGTGCTATATAGCATTATATTGTTGCATAATAAAAGCTGTTCGTTGGGTGTTCTGTGTATTTTTGCAAGTCCAGTTCACTTATTTATGACTGTTTTACACATTACACAAACAAATCCAGACTTGTTTCCAACTGTTCACTCAGCAAGCTGCTTCAGCTAATTCAGACTCTTTCACGTGTGTATCTGTATATTACATGCATTCTCAAGCCCCCTTTGTCACATACATATTTTGGTATATTTGTTTAAAATATGTTTATAGCACCCCTCCATTGTGGTATATGCTTAGTATGTCCTAGTTCTACAGCTCACACATATAATGTGTGAAGTAGCCAATGTGTGAGACGTTTAGTCTTTGCTTAAAACAAAATAATATATTCATTTCCAATCTTATTTTGCTGAATTAAAGTATCCTTAGGAAATCCTATAACCCGATATAATTAAAGATACATGCAACAGTATATTGTAATATTTTAAAAAATATGCTTTTAACAGTAACAAATAGGTCTCAAAAGCAATAGAAACAAGGAGAATCTCCATACTAATTTGTATAAATTTCCACTTTCAACACATTTCCCACCTTAAAAAAAGAAATGACTAAAATAAAATGTATAATTACCTTGCTCTTCTAAGATTCCATTTGGCATTTTTTTGTCACTGGAATTCACAACTGCTTTTCTGTGTTTCCTGAACCTTTATAAATATAATGAGATGCATTTAGGGAGAGGAAGTTTAGCTCTCATGGGAATAAATTACTTGTAGTTAACACACATTACAGCAGATTATATTTCACAAACCATGTAATCCTGGAGAAAGTTTTTCTAAACATCTTTCAGTTGTAAAAGCTTCACACCAGTGCAAGCAAGAGTGTGTTAACATCCTCTGCTTCTCTAGCTAATGAAACCAAAGCCAGCTCAGCTGTGTGTGTGCACACTTTCATTTCCGTATTAGATCACATGGAAACAAGACATAACTAGTTCTGAGATGAGAGTTTTGAGTCATGCTTACCTGAAAAAATAGCCAGCTAAAAAAACTAAAATTATAAAAACAAGAATCAGGATCAGCATTGAAGTCAATAGATGCTGTGGCTGGCCATTTACGTTTGGAGGACCTAGGATTTAACAAAAGAAACATGAAGCAGTGGAATACATTTCACACATAGTATCTGTAAAGGAATTACAAAACCACACAAACTAGGCACATGGAATTTTAAACAAGTCTCTGGACTGGCTCACAGAATTGTCACTGGACACCGTATCATGGGCTGTTCTCGCATTCTGGGTGGACTTGTGAACCATGACAACAAGCCACCCTGCCTGGGTTTCCACATCATGATAAACTCCAGTGTCTGCCCACTTAGAATGGCTTGTGGCATGTACCACAAGCCACCACAGCTTATTTATGCTGCCAATCATGAGAACCTGTTACTAAATATGTCTCTGGCACTCCCAAATCCAAGGGAAGTCAATCTTAACATTTTTTTAAAAGATTACTATAAAGCAATATGTTACCTGCTGAAATATTTTGGTAACTGTTTTTCTTACATCATCATTATTATTGGAGTTTTATCTTGCCACTGTTATGTCCCACGGTTTTACAGATGAGATTAGAGACCAGTTGGTATTTTTTAAGAGAAGGTTTTTTATTTCCTGTATAGGGACAACACTCTCCCACAAGGACGGGATGGGTGCCGCCCCCTCTAGAGGGACAACGGAGTATTTATGCCTTGTTACAAACAAAGGGAGAATTGTTTTTGACAGCCTACGCAAGCGAGCTGACATGATACAGAGGCGAGACGGTTTTGCGGTTAGTCCATATTTTGATACAAAAGCGGAGCGGCTTGCAGCTAGCCTATCCTTTTAAGCAGAACACTCTGTATATGCCTCGGGCAGCTGACAAGACTCCTATTGTGCTCTATTGTGCTGACCCCAATACACAACCGATAGCCTCCTGCCACACCAATCCCGTGCCAGGTGGGTGGGGCCCAACAGCCACATTAGCCAATAGCAATTTAAACTTATATACAACCACAGATATTAGTCCAGCTTTTCTGTTGGACCTAAGACAACACTGAAGTGTCCTTCCAAAAATTCGTGTTCTAATTCCTGTACCCCAAATCATAGCAGGGAGCCAGTGTGGTAAAATGGTTATAGTTTTGGACTCTGACTAGTTTCCAGTCACTATGGAACTTCCAGGGTGACTTCAGGCCATCATAGATTCCCAACTAACTAGCTCACGCGGTTGTTGTAAGGCCAAGATACCCCCCTGGGCTCCTTGAAAACCAGCAGAAAATACAATGATAAAAAGTAATAACAACAGTGCATATAATATTGGTTATAATGGAAAACGGCTTCCCTGATTTATTTGACCTGGATACATGATGCAACAAATATTTATTCATGCATGATGTATGACTGCATAATGTATCGAGAATACTAGAGGTAGCTTTCCTGCGGCATCCTTTACACTATCAGAGGATAAAGAAGGCATCTCCCTTCTCAGTTTTCTTTTATTTTCTGCTACTGGGCATGTTGTAGTACTGCAAACTGCAAGTTTTCTGAGCATATGAATACTTTTTTATGCTTTTCACAGAGTTCATTTTGGCTACAGATGTAATTCCATTTCTTAGCCACTACACTACTGATAATCCTAAAAATGAAACTGAAAGTGAAAAATCCATATCTGGACAATCTACCAGGTGAACTGTGGGATTCCATATGCAAATTTCCACTTGCAAGATGCCTCTAGAGATGAAAGACTTCTTTAATAGGCACTGTACCACATACATAAAACCACAGAAACACAAGGAGCTATTTTACAGCAACATCACGTCCTCTGTTTATCTAGACAATTACTGGCTATTCCAGGGACAGGAAACTTGGTGCCCTCTAAATCTTTTGTATGACAACTCCCATTATTCTTGAGCACTAGCCTTGCTGGTGGGAGATTGCCTGCTCCTGGTCTATTCCAATGGGCAGTAGCTCCCTAGAGTCTAAGGCAGAAGATCTGAAAGCTCAGAAAAGGTATCTGTATAAAAACATTGGGCAATCCTAGGGTTGATCAATTTCCTGTCACACTCTAGAGTTTTCAGTGATGGCGCACTTCCTGATTTCAAGATAAAAGAAACAGTAAGAAATGGAGCTCCCAAGTGACAGACCCTGCGGAATTCCATCCTCCACTATACGGTTAAGATCCTAATAGCAAGAATGGTTACAAACTAAATCAATTTTAGGTGGTCTTGAAAAAAGGGGGGTGATCACTGGATCCATGCAAAAAGTAAACTAGTGTCAGGCGAGCACACATGGATCAGAATTACTTGTGAATATTAATCAGAATTAATTGTGAATATGTGTGATTTTGCCCAGATCAAAAAGACAGTTTGGGCTGAAGTACAAGCACAAGACTACACAAGAGAGTGGAGCAGGCATTAAGATCAAAGCAAATAACGGATACATGTACACCAGTGTATGCTGTTAAAGAGCGCAAGCACTTCGACATCACTGCATAACTAAAATAGCCAATGTGAAGCTGGAAGGAAGGAAGGAGGCTGAGATCAGGCCACATAATACTAAAATAATGCTTCAGGAAGGGGTATCAATGCAACCTCTGCAATGCTAGCTCTGTGCTTAGGGTCCTCTCTGCCTGAGGTATTTATTGTTCACTTGTGATTCGTCATTCACAGTCGTTTGTATGTACCTCACAAGATTCCGTTATCAACCCAGATTTCTTTTATGCTTTCCAAACCTTTGTGTGTATGTCTGTTGTTGCTGTTGTTTTCAGAGTGAGGTAAGAGAGCTGTTTTCAGACTACCATGCTAAATCACACTAGTACAAATGCATGTATTTCTGTAATTGAGATGTACCACAGTGCCAACTTGTGGCTGCTAATAGAATGCATAGGAAGGCCAAGAAAGAAAAACTCCGGGGGGGGGGGGGAAGCATTGTGTAAAAGATCCAATTTTAATCTTGCAATTAAGCAGGAGCTTCAGTAAAGCAGCAGATTAAATGCCTCATGTAGAGAAACCATAGGGCTCCCAGCAAATATACCTGTCTTGAGCTGCATTGCCTGATTCTGCTTTTGATTTTCAAGGTTCAAATACCATGCAATACCAAGTCAGCATTAAGCCCCAGTTTCAGTCTCTGCAAAAGCTGTTATGCCCTCACCTCAAGAGCTAACCTGTGAACTGATTAATTCCCCCAGATGGCAGTTAAATGGTGGGAAATGTCTTCTCCATGACACATGCTAGTTGATAAACAAATGCCAATTATTACATCCAAAATTGTTGGATGAATAGTAATTATTCAATTAGTAGTACTATTCAACAATTAGTAATTCTTGAATAGTAATTATTAATCCTTACTAACCTCTATTCCCCTTCATGGATCACTGCTTAGTCATGGCGAAGGGACTTGTGCAGCTCAGTGAAGCTATGAGCTATGCCGTGCAGAGGCACCCAAGATGGACAGGTCATAGCAGAGAGCTCTAACAAAAGTTGATCCAGTGGAATTGTGGCGCTGGAGAAGACTCCTGCGAGTCCCTTGGACTGCAAGGAGATCAAACCAGTCAGTCTCTGAGGAGTTCAACCCTGACTGCTCTTTAGAAGGCCAGATACTGAAGATGAAACTCAAATATTTTGGTCACCTAATGAGGACTCACTGGAGAAGACCCTGATGCTGAGAACAACTGACGGCAAAAAAGAAGGGGATGGCAGAGGATGAGGTGGCTAGATTGAGTCACTGAAGCAGTCAGTGCGAGCTTAAGTGGATTCCGGGGGATGGTGCAGGACAGGAAGGCCTAGAGGAATGTTGTCCATGGGGCTGCAACTAACAACCACAAAACCTCTATTACAAATATAAATGCTACAACTTATGGGCTGACAACTCCTGGCATAATATTTTTTTAAGTGTGGAAAGGTGCTATAACTCTGTTGATCTTGTTGCAACAAGCTAATACAAGGACCTTCTGGAAACGAGCATAGGATTTTTTCCTTACTTCATTTAATATATTGTCTTTAAATAGGAAATAGTGTAAAATAGAGGCCAGTGTCATCCAGTCACAAATTCCATAAAAAGCAATTCTGCTATCTTGAAAAGCAAAACAATTTGCCAGGATTGACCAAGGTTTCAATCCTATGCATGCTTACCTAGGAATAAATCCTACTGAACCTACCAGGACTTATTTCTGAACAAGCATGCTAATGATTGCACTGTAAATCTTATGATTCAAAAAATACTAAAACTTGTTGTCTTTCCTCTGTACTAGTTGTGACTAAATTGCATTGCAGCAATTCCCCAAGCCTTTAAAACCACATAATTTGCTTAGCATCACATGTTTGTCAAATCACCTTTTTATTTTCGGCTTGTTTTGCAGTAATTGAATAGTTTTTATCAAACTAGATCTACAACATAGTTTGTAACACAGTTAGCTTTACTTCCAACTGCAGAGTATATTGGATTACTAAAAATGTTTATATCATGTTGAATGTGAGGGGCTTCAATCTCTGACTACAACTATGGAAAACAAATTTCAACCATTCAATTAGATGTTTATACTGTAGGACTGGGACATCTGTATAAAATAACACATACTAAAGTGAACACTTAGGAAATGTCTTACTACCAGTTGCATTTCTAGCTCCTGGAAAATTGGCATTTAAGTTATGAAAGCTGGAAGAACTGCCTGTAATATAATCAAAACAACAGTTTTGTTTGTAGAAAATGGTTGTGATCAGCAAAGGTGACATTCCTCCAGTCATGGAAATACATGACATCAGAGTGCAGAAACATCTCAACCTCAATGGGATTATAAACTTTAGGTCTTCCATTAAGTCTTATTATTATTGAGCTCTGTTATGTATTGTCATGCAAAATAAGCAATTGCAAACGATTAACTTATTTCAGTTTCATGGCTGGAAAAGAATATCTACTTCCACATCTATTACTGGAATTATTACTGGATTGACAGCAAATCTAATGTTGCTAAATCCACCATATCAATGCCATAAACTTGCTGCTTTCAGATTTTAAAGCAGGGATGAGCAAGTTATGAAACTCCAGAAGATTTAGTTATAAATTCCATTATCTATCCCATTGGAAAAACTAGCTAGGGCTA